GCTCTCTCCGGGGAGGGGAGGGGGGTTGGGAGGCGGAAAGCCCACCCCCCCCCCCCAGCGCCCCAGAAGGCCTGATACTCAGGCTAGCAGTATTATGGCAACTTTTGCAAGGGTTGAATTCCTTCTTTTGCATCAATTGGTGACATAAATCAAGTTAGGGATTAAACTTTGCAGAAATGAACAAAACTTGAAAACGCCACATGAATATTTTTCCGTTATATCCTTAATAAAAGGCTTGTTATAATCCTTATTCTTTGTCATTTTCCCCCATGTTTTTTTCTTCACATATTCATAAATATAGGCCGTTGTGACTTTACCGACACAAAAGCCATTTTTGCCATCAGCACCAAGGTCTACGTCTTTCCATTGTTCAACATGAACATTATCACTTTATTTATGTAGTATTGATATACCCGCTCGAAAACTGATCGTGTGTGTTACCTTTAGGGGCATACAGCACTGAAATCCCTTCACGCCTTCACCTCTTCTTAGGTAAAGGTCTTATTTTATTTTATTTAACCGGTTTCATTTGCAAAAAGTCAGACTAGTAAAAGCCTTGTAACTTCTTCGTTCACTCGACAGAAATATTTAAAAAATCATTTATTCTATTTATTTTAATTCAAATAGAAAGTCATTATATATAATCATTGTGATATATTTTAAAAGAAACCTTTGCGTTTTTTATGGCAGTGAAAAGAAGAAAAAAATGACCCGAATAGTTAATTCCTAAGTTATCTCATAAGCCATCGTTCTAACCCGAGCTTATCGAATTTAGCTCCTCAGGATACACTTAGCATTGAAAAACCTTCAAAAACATATGTCACTGCAGATAAGAATATAAATTTTGACTCTACAGCCCTTAATTCTTTTTAACTTACGTGTATCTTGTTTTGCTTTCCTTTTTTCTATCCTACTCGTGCCTCCGTTACTTGAGTATTGCTCACCAACAGGCTTCATCGTGTGTATCATGAGGGAGTCGTAGTTTAGCTGCACGCCGTTCAGATTCGCAGGCAAAGTTTTGGGACTAGTTTTGTCATGACTTGTTTGTCGTGTTACTTCTTGTATCTCGTGTAGTTGTGTGTGTGCTAGAGGTTTTAGTTCCTTGCATTCCAGGTACCTCTGACCCAATACACACAACGTTAACAACCTGGAAGCAAGGCAGGTAAAAATCTACTCACTGTGAGTTTGCAAAGCTGACGGCCTTCAATTCGCAACTCTGATACAATCCACGGCAGGAAAAGATCTAAAAATTTCTTTGTGTATTTCAAGCCACRAAAAATACACTTCATTTCGGAGTCTCTCAGTCATGCAAATGTGCTATTRTGAGCATGAAAAAGTGGAAGTACTCGTATCCGTTGTAATGAAGGTGTCAAATACCTTACRATAAGTCATAGGCACGTACTACTATGTTGYCATAGTGACGTATCTTCAAAAAATTAATCGACCTCTAAGAGCATGCTAAAGTGTCCGACTTTTCAGTGATGAGATCTTAAGAGCATAGGAAGTAAAAAAAGCATCAAATAAACTTAGTGTATTTTAGGAAATATCTTTTGGTTCTCGTCATCCGTGATCGAGATTAACTAGGTGGGGTTCCTGTGGTAAAGGAAGTTTACCTTGTAAAGCTTTGGGGGTTTCTTTAAATGCTAAAAAATGTCGTCCAAAAATGAAGTGGGCCAGAACATAAACGTGGCTAGACGCTAGACCTTAAGGTGACTTTAAACAGCTACATTTTATTAGTAATACGAAAGGTAAAAATTCATATTTGATAACTTTAACCACTGCAAAGTTTGAATGAAAATCTTGCAAGTCTRCAAGTTTGTTTTGGAGGTTTTTGAGTAAAGCACTTCGTCGAAATAAAGTGTAAAAATAGGTTTAAAAAAATTGATTTTCCTTTCCTTCTGGCTGTTCCTCCTATATCAGATGGTTGACGAATGAAATAATCAAGTTACTCTAGGGCAAACCCAGACGTCTATCAAGCATTTTGTATTTCCAGATCCTCTACTGTAACTTGACAGTTCTCTACATGTACATAGATACACTTTTTCTCCTCGTGAATTAGTACCAGTGGACAGGTTTGTTTCGTCTCCTCTGACGGTCGAGCAAGAGGCTCCTACCACGATCTTGTCCTTCAAGAAATCAATTCAACTTTTTAAGTCCTTAAAACTTTAAAGAACAATAAATTTAAATGACTTCAAAATATGCCTTTTARTTATTCAATAATATTTCATATTATACTTACCATTGGTTCGATGAAGTTAACAAAATAATCAGTAGCTGCATCACTAAAGCCCCGAAACACTTTCTGTTGGTGTTGACATTGGCTTAGATTTCCAGCGCCTGGTGTCCCGGGGATACCTCTTGGACCTTGAGGCCCGGGGGGTCCTGGTGAGCCAGCTACTCCTGGCATACCATTGATTGTTCTATTGATACTGTTAATCTAAAAAAAAAAACCTGATGATAAATTTCCGAAAAGATAAGGAAAACTAGGGGGAAAAGGGAAATCTCACAGGCAATAGACCTCTTCACAGTTCCCTGCGCCATCTTGAAAGGTAATCGTGCCTTTGCATCGAAGCGAGACAAACGGTGAGCTTGCAATGATAGAGACCTTTTTAAAACACCTTGAACAATTATTCACATGTCTCTATCATTGCAAGCTCATCGTTCGTCTCGCTTCGATGCAAAGGCACGGCTACCTTTCAAGATGGCTCAGGGAACTGTGAAGGGGACTATTGTCAATCAATTCATGCGCAAGACCTTGTTGATCTAATTCTGTAGTAAGAAAAAGTCCTATGATGGGAGAAAGGACTTTTTTACCCAGATATCCTTTTAGTATAAACCTACCAGTGGTCTATCGCAAATCCTGCGCTCTGATTGGCTATCTGAACTACTAAAGGTTGTTATTAGGTTATTAGAGCTATTAGTAATAGACCAGCACCGGTAGCGAAAAGTAGTGGTTTTGAAAACCAATTATAAAATAATTGGRATACTACGCGCGCTGTGATTGGTCGAAAACCATRTTTGATGAGAGTATCAAAACACGCTATCGTCATTTTTAATCTATCGCGCGCGCTCATTGGTCAGTTTAAATAAGACGGCATGCAGTGAGAATTTACTTAAATTTGCTTTTTTTCGATCTTTTCACGAGTTTGTTATTTTATAAAACAAATCAAAAACAGTTTTCTGTGTTTGATACTCGATCTGATCAAAACACTTGGGATGTTGAGAGAACACTCGAGAAGCTGGAAACCACTCCGCTACGCGTCGTGGTTTCCTACGCTCCTCTCGTGTTCTCTCAACATCCCGCGTGTTTTGATCAGATCGAGTATCAAACATGGAAAACTGTTTTTGATCTGTTAATTAAAAACGCAAAAATAAATTGTAAGAAATAACCTAATTCCAATATTGTTTGTATTTGATTTAACCTATTAGTATTCACTATTGTTTGCCATTGCTGCCACCATTTCATATTCTCTTGATTTAACCTATTAGTAGTCACTATTGTTTGGCCTCATGTGCTATTGACTCTTAAGGACGGTGCCTACTAATTGAGAATCAATTATTTTTGTAAATGACTATGTGAATTATTTTAACCTATCAAAGGGTTGTCAAATTCTGGTTAGAAAAGTAGGGGTCACCGTGCATTTAAAAGAAATAATAAGGCTTAAAAATCGTTAAAAAGTGATGACGTCATGACTTTACTAACACCAAGAGAAAAAAATTTTTTCAAAAGATTTTGAGAAATTTCTAATTTAAATCGTCCTAAATGACTGACACTTTGTTTCTTTACTAAAATATACCCAATTCTACCATTACTTTAATAGTTGGCTATAATATATATAATTTTTTAGCTTCGTGCTCCCTATTTTCGATCAGTA